CCAAATTTTTGGTTTGATCACTGGTAGAATTGTGGTTTCTAGTCGTTGCATTACTGCTTCCGCGATGAGTCCTGATATTGGTGATCCCATTGGTGTCCCTTTTGTTTGTTTGTAGATTTTGTTATTGAATTGGAAATATGTTGTTAGACATAGATCTATGAGTTCAAGTAGGCTTTGACTTTGAAGTTTCGTGTATTTCGCGAGGTTTTCGTCGTTGGTTAGGAGCAAGGACAGAGTTTCTTTTGCTAGGTTTGGTTCAATTGAAGTGAATAGTGCTGTCACATCGAAGGATATCATTAGTTCGTCGTCGTTGATTTGAATGTTCCTAATCTGATCAAGGAATTGTGTGGCTGATTTGATGGAGTGGTTCGACGAATCTACTAAATGTTTCAGTATTCTTGAGATTTCTCTTGATAAATTGTAAAAACGTCCGGAATAAGTGAGGAAACGCAACAGGAAATAAGACAATCTATAATACCACTAACTCAACGGATGAAGGGCAACAACCAACTGACGTCACAAGAACAAACAGCTTTGAAGAAACTCAGAACCAGAAAAGATATTGTAATCGTTCCAGCAGACAAAGGACGCACTACGGTGATTATGGACAAGGAAGAATACATCAAGAAAGCCGAGGAAATACTCGAGGACAAAAGTACATACAAACCGATGGACATAAATCCAGTCAAAAAACTAGACAATCGCATTTCAAAAACTTTAAACAAACTCGTCAAAGCAGGAGAAATAACGAAGCAAGATCAATGGAGAATGAAATCTAATGGACCAGTACTCCCTCGGTTCTACGGCAGACCAAAGATACACAAACCAAACATCCCACTACGTCCAATTGTAGCACTACCAGGAACACCAACGTACAATTTATCAAGAGAAATCTCAAGAATACTGAAACATTTAGTAGATTCGTCGAACCACTCCATCAAATCAGCCACACAATTCCTTGATCAGATTAGGAACATTCAAATCAACGACGACGAACTAATGATATCCTTCGATGTGACAGCACTATTCACTTCAATTGAACCAAACCTAGCAAAAGAAACTCTGTCCTTGCTCCTAACCAACGACGAAAACCTCGCGAAATACACGAAACTTCAAAGTCAAAGCCTACTTGAACTCATAGATCTATGTCTAACAACATATTTCCAATTCAATAACAAAATCTACAAACAAACAAAAGGGACACCAATGGGATCACCAATATCAGGACTCATCGCGGAAGCAGTAATGCAACGACTAGAAACCACAATTCTACCAGTGATCAAACCAAAAATTTGGATTCGTTATGTAGACGACACATTCGTCATCGTCAAAAAGGAGGAACTAGAAAACACCTACGAGCAGATCAACAACGTCTTCAACGACATCAAGTTCACAATGGAACAAGAGTCGGACAACAAGTTGCCATTCTTAGATGTATTAATCACCAGAACGGACACAGGAAAACTAGAGACTCAAGTGTACAGGAAGCCGACCCACACCGATCAAATTCTCAACTACAATAGCAACAACCCAAGAACTCACAAAATCAACTGTGTACAAACTTTGTTCAAGAGGGCGAGAACACACTGCAATACAATCACAGCACGAAAAAATGAAGAAAAACACCTGAAAACCATTCTTCAAAAGAACGGCTATCCAATCAATTTCATCAAAAAATACCAGTCGCACACACCATCAGAAATGAAGTCAAGTATAAAAATCAACAAAAGGATCACCCTACCATACATAAAGGGCATATCGGAAACGACAACAAGGCTGCTGAAAACCTTCGGAATAGGTGTAGCCCACAAACCAACAAAGTCCCTCCACTCAATCTTATGCAAACCAAAAGATGAAATGGCAAAAGAAGACAAAACAAACATCATCTACAAGATAAATTGTACCAACTGCAACAAACACTATATTGGACAAAGCGGACGCCCCCTGCATCTTCGCCTACATGAACACCAATTAGCAGTCAAACGCCACGACATTTCTTCACTCATATCAATACACGTGGACAACTACGGACATACATTCGACTGGGAAAATGTGCAGATTTTGGACAGAGGCAATTCCAAAAATACCAGAGAATTTTTAGAAGCTTGGCACTCAGGTCAATCTGCAATAAACAAACATATTGAAATCAATCCAATCTATCAACCAATCAAGAAAATTATGCAGGAACATAGGAACAAAAATCAAAACAATAGGAGAGACAATCAAAACAAAGAAATAAACAATGACAGATTTAAGGTCAATAAGAACCAATCAACATCGAGGTGCAGAGGACAAGCTGTGAATCACATGTGGAGAAATTCAAACACTTCACTTCTACCCGAAGTTTGTGCTGATGATGTCGTTCAGAAGGACGATGAAAGCTCCACGACCAAACCATCCAGCTCAGAGAACAAACCAACATAGGAATCACATATTTAATTACCATTAAGTTGATTGCCCGTTTATCTACATTCAATGACCAATAACATTTAATTTCAATAACACATATCACTAATGGCATAAGACTAAGAATAATCAAAATGACTAGTGCTTTTTGAGTATAGAAAATTGTTTTTAATTATTCTATTTGTTAGCTCCAATCACCAACCGACTAAAAACTAATCTTAATGCAACTCATAAAATACAGATTATTGTGCTAAGCATTAAAACTATAATTATTTTGTGACGATTCGATGTACAATCCAAAGTTCATTAATTGACATTACAGAAGAGTACACAATTGATTATTGAAGAAACGAAGAGATCCAGGACATTTTTCAGAATAAAGGACCGTCCCTCGCTAATATTAAATGTTTTTCAGGAATAATAAAATCACTGGATAGTGTTCAACGACTCAAAAGTTGGTATTGCATATTTTTTGTTTAGTGTACGTCCTACATTAACCTCAAATAATGTACACTTGTTTATACGAATGACTAATTATTCAATAATGTTTAGTTATGATTTAAAACTAGGAAGTACAGGACAGCTGTTTCTGGTCAATATGCGGCTCCTCAATAACGGACATCGGCTACCTTAGGACCGTCAAAGTGTATTTTACTAAGTACAGTTTCATAACCTATGTCTCATTGTTTAATACTGCCTGAAAAAAAGGTAGCTCATTTATTACTGTTAAGATATCTTAAGTTGAAAAAATGTTAGATATTAATGAAGCTTTTAAATTTTGTTTCATCTACGGGTGTGATCTTACACTTCTAAATCTTTTTTTATGTTAATACTATTGTGATAGTGGGAGACAGCAAACCAGATTCCAGCAGAGGAAGAAGCGCTGGAAGTGGATTGGGCACACTTTGAGGAAATCACCTAACTGCGTCACAAGACAAGCCCTCACATGAAATCCTGAAGGCCAAAGGTAAAGAGGAAGACCCAAGAACACATTAAGCTGAGAAACGGAGACAGATATGAGAAAAATGAACAAAAACTGGATAGAACTAGAAAGGAAGGCCCAGGACAGAGTAGGTTGGAGAATGCTGGTCGGTGGCCTGTGCTCCATTGGGAGTAACAGGCGTAAGTAAGTAAGTACTATTGTGATAAATGAACTCGAGAATTCCAGGTAATAGTTTAGTATTGTTATAGATCTACCCAATTCATGAGATTTCCAATACTATTCATTTCAATAGACAATAATACTGAATTAATTTTTCTTTACGCTGGATCTTTTTTTTACATCGTTTGTAAAATATTTGACAGTACTACCATACTGTATCACTTTTCAAAACATGACATTAAAGTTCCATGATCTGATAAGACAATAAAGGGATATTTTTTACCAACAAAATGTCATGTCAATTCAGGGAGTATATGAAAAGTTGACGGAGTGAAAAAATATCGTTAACATTCTACCGCAGAGATTAAGACTTTATATGTTTTTAAACGCTGTCATTTAATTATGAAGGCCTAGTAAAATGAGCAAAATACGGATGATTATGGGTACGAGAAATTCTATGCAAAGGTAAGTGGTTTAGTTCAGAAACTAGAATTGAACAAAATATCAATATTTTATTTGTATGAAACGATACAAGAAACATTTTGGAAGCAGTAAGTTGTGGTTCATACCTGAAACCACGAGAAATGTGAATACATACTAACACCATGGCAAATTTGCCAGTGAATGAATCACTATTTACTGTTATGGTTTTTAAAAAGTTGCTCATCCTGGCAACTAGATAACCAACGTTAATTTAAAAGAAAAGTTATTCGGGTCGCTGAAAAAACAATCGGCGGATAACCTTTTACGCCCATTGATACACTTACATATTTTTTGTCTACTAACAAGCATCAGAATTCCAATATAGCAGTGGTGTTATAAACTAACAACAGATCCAGTACTGGTACATAACGATTAGAGGATTTGTCTTGTGATTCCACTCGTTCAGTATCGCTATACTGCAATCAAAATACCTAGACCGATTATTAAAATGGAATTTCTGCAACTAAAAACTGACGGCCACAAATTTATACAGACAGTATCACTACTCGATCATTGACTGGAGGATGATATTCTCTTTAACTAATAATCACTGAATGTGGTTTATTTGTAATGGAATGAATTCTAGCGTGAATCAACCTTTTAAGGTCTTTATAATAAAACTTGAACTTACTCCTAGTTAGTGGGTAAGGAAGAAGAGAATAGGGAACAATTGTGTTCATTGTAGTTAAAAACTAACCAATGAGCGAACAAAATTATTAGCAACCCAAGAGTGAATGCCATGATTCACTTTAAGTATAGTTGGAATACAGCAGCTTTTGTATAAAATGTTCGCAATTATGTGTTTTAGTTAACTGGTAGTAAATAAAGGAGGATTTTTAACATCCGTTGAAAGTTGATTACCTACATAACTCTTTATCCCACTAGTTAGTTCGAGCTGTCAATCTGATAATTGAGTGCTAGATATGTATGTACACACTGAAATCGTGAGCCATTACTTTTACTTATTAAAACAATACGAAAATATAGAAAACATTAAACAAGGCAATATCGAAATAGAATAACAAATTTATTCAAATATTTCATCTAATTCATCAACTGGGTAAATTTCTTTTAATTCTTTTTTACGCTTCCGTGTTTCCGTTTTATTATGTGTACGTTCTATGTATTTGCCATGTTTATTAGACAAAAGAGTACTTCGAATCTGAAAAAATGGGGAGAACAAAATTGCGTTTCGCAAATTTATACTACTGAATAACCAACAAAAGTAATACAAAAGTGTGTAATAAAAGAATTTAGGTAAAAAAGCGTTTATACCTACCTCAAGAAAATGATTTGCTATTCGAAAAAAGGTTATAACGTTATGAAAACCCGAATTATTATCACTGTCATCGGTTTTTAATAATTACATCAATCCCATAAAAATGAATGTATGGAGATATTTGGGTATCAAACAGACCCAATTTAGTAAAGTTAAATTGTTAAGTCAAACTTATAGTTTTTTAGAAATATAAAAAAAGATCCGTACTACCAGTCAATTCACAGACTGTGACTCAATTAGTTGTCAGTGTATAGATGTTTCGAAGCATAATCACATTATCGGATAATTGCAAGTCACATATTAAGCATTACAAGATTTTCATTAAAGACCTTCAAAATACTTTACATTTTGATAGAGCATTTGTCTGATAGGACCACTTTATCATTTGTCTACCTTAAGTAGACTCGAGATATAATCAACGATTTGATTTCAGAAACGTTTGAAATAAACAACGTCACCTCCTTTTTAACACCGAAAAATTTGGACAGAAAAGGCAGTGGCGGAAATCCTTAATAGAGTCGAGTTGAGGTTGAAAGTGGACATGTCAAACATTTTTCGACTTGATTGAGGTTTTTTATCTATGGATTAGTGCGACGATGTTGAAGGGGTCTAGGTCAGCATGTAAAACCGTAAAGGTGATTGCATAAAGGGTTGTAATATCTTTTGCACGTAATGATACAGCTAAACAGATATAAGGGGACTTAACAACTAGCCATCAATAATGTAGTGAGTCTTTCTTTATATTTAGTGAAATACTTACATATACGTGCATTTCGTCGATTCAGTGCAACTGTAGACGATTTAATTATTAGATGTCAATGAAGAAATGGTACTTTATTTATTTAGCTCGTTTATCAGGTACAGATTCATTTAATTGGTTTTGCGTCACACTCTAGATGTGAGGGCTAGAGATACTACTAGTCTAGACAAACTGAAGTAGGTGTAATGTCGAAAGTCAAAAGTATTAACGACTGGACCACTTCTCCATCAAATGAGTTTGAATCGCCAAACACTACTCTCCTTCGCTTTGTTACTCATATGAAAGTGGATGGATATCTAAATAAGTGAGTTTATTTTCAAAGTTTATCTGTTTAAATTGACACGACTTACTTTAGTAGTGACATATTAGTGGGGAAGAATGTAGTGGAAATAATAATCGTAACAGTAGTGAGAAACTAAACCGAATTGTTATCAGCATATCAAAAGGAATAGGTTGAAAGAGAATAAAACTAAGAGATAAAAAGTAGGGGATAATAAAATAAATGCCTCTGGAGAACTACATGTGTATTTTGGGAACACCGAGTGAAGAACGCTGAGGTTACACGCAAGCTGCTGAGTGCGGATGGCAAATCAATGGTGAGGTGGTAAATATTTATTGACTGAGATGGTTGGGATATACATTACGTATGTCTAATTACTGACAATTTTGGTGCGGGATGATGGTTGGCGTAGGAGTAGGGTAGAGCAAGACTAGGAGCGACCAAACGAAAAATGTATCATCAGTCTATAAAGCCACTAACTCTTGGACCGAGAAGTGTAGGTAGGTATAGACCACCTGGTTGAAGTCTGCGCCATTTTCGTAACCAGTGGTTGGATATGCTGGTTGAAATGGCCTGAAATCATTCACAATGTTTTGAGTGCATTCGTTCTCTATCTCCTCTTAGATCCTAAGTTTATAAATTTTTTATTATTCCAGGAGTTCGTATTTTATTTGAAAACCATATATCCTATGCCTAATCTTTTTTAGTACCACTAGTATTGTTACTTTTTCCAGAATTCTGTAACTTGTGAATTTAACCTCGCTATGCTAAGGTGGTAAGGTAACTTAAACCGAAGCACATATGTGATAGATTTTACGTGGTGTTTGACTGACTGAAAATGTTCAGAAAAAGATACAGAATGATCTCATTAGTATCAGTGTGACCAATTACGAGCTATATTACTATATACTTTAATCAAGGATTTCGATCACTTCATAGACTCGAGATAGGAATTTCACAACTTACTACACAGTTCAAGCTAATAGTTAATGACTTTACAGAGTGATGCTATGTTGCCCACTTTCCATCACATTTACGTGATAACATAGCGTAACGAAGTAGACACGGTTTATGCTACAACTACGACAGTACATGTGGGTCAATCCAATGTGGACTGTGATCGATTCATGTCAACTGAAAAGTTTACTACATATCAGAGAACTCACTGCGGATACGACTATAAGACAGAAAGATACACTGAGCTACATATATGAGTTAGTTTTATTTCACAAGACAGCCCGTAACTCATATAATTATTCTGATCATGAAGAGCAGTGAATAATTTATGACAGATGTGTTCAAAAAATGTAAAAAAAAGATCAAATCAAAAGAACAAAGAGTAATTTAAATAACTTACTAAATTAGGAGAAATGTATTTTGGATTAGAATACAGTACTGCACCACAAAAGCTTCCAGAAAATATACGTATTGGGTTTAGTGAAAAGCGTGGACCTAAAAAACAATGATTAGTAATGAAATTTCGGCATATATAACTCCTTATCAATTTGTTACCCTAACGAAATAAGTCAATTGTACCATAGTCTAGGGTGCCAGCCATGTATTGTTTTATAAATGACCGTAATGCCCCGAAAATTTAGCCTAAGTGAGTGGGATGAAATTTTACTTCAAGATTAGGTGGTTGGAAAGTGAATATGAAGTGCTTAACAAAAACTCGTATAAGAGAGTAATAGGAAATTAAGAATACGTAGGTAAGATTATCTATAAAGTTGTCAGTTTTTATGAGGTCTTGGACTCGAAAAAATTAACATAAAACATACTGCAATGGACGTGAATTACTCTTCATGTATTCTGGTTGAAGTAACTTAGGATTATGATGAAAACGTTGTCAATGGAAAATTTCAAATGTTAGTACTTTAAACAATGAGTTTCAGTTACTTTAACCAAAGGAAATTTTAGCCCAAAAACTGAGACAGAACGCAGGCTAATTACAGTAGTTGATGCTAGAATGAGAAATCCGTGGGTAAATGTTAACCTACATATTATACATCAGGACGCTGCTGATAAATATTTCCTAGATAATTAGTATATTATTAGACCTACAATTAGCAACCCATACGCAGCTAATAGCTAAGGGAATTAGCAGTCTATACCAGGTATGATGAGCTGCAATTACGAGAAGTATTATTTTGACTGACACTCAGTATTATTGATTATTTTAGATTTACGTTCTACTGTAGTTTACAATTGTTTTTAAGCACAGAATTATGACGTTGATCGAGGTACTGAGTATGCAATTACTGATTTATAAGCTCGAATCCTAATACATCTATTTTTTTATACATGACTAACAGTTTAGTAAGCTAACCAGTTGTAAAAATTGAAGTGAAAATTTGAGTTTTACAGGCTTGGACTTACACCAATAAGACAAATGAGTCATAGAAAAACAGTAAATGACCATTCCCTTATTATTATTATAGTCGGAAAAGAATTGCATGATCGGCAAGTAATATTGAAGTGGTTTACGAGAATTCTATATTACTGCCAACCTAACCCAGTGTATTATATGCATACAGTATCTAGAATTTTGCCGTATACTTAGTACGGTAGTGACCAGTAAGTTACTTTCATTAAATAGTTTTAGGTGAAGCAGTAGCTAGGCCCGGAAAATCTGGTACCTAAACTAGAGCTATAACTTTAAACTGATTACATTAAATGCATCACGAGCCATTTAACATTTACAGTCAAATGACTACTATGTTATTGTTTCTCGTTGTAAAAAAAGCTTCCGAAATAAGCATATGTAATGCATACTTACCAACTTCGACTAGTGCTCCACTTTCCTCAGCAATCTGATAAACTCTAAACCATATACGATCATTAAAGTTAACAAACGTAAATGTCTTGTCTATATATGGCTGAGAACGTGGATGATGATTTGGAGTGCCAAGAGTTTGTATAAACAATTCACGGATCAAGTTCATGTGAGGTTTATCGGATTCTTCGAAAGATGGATCGAAGGCCAGTATAGGGCGACTGCTTTTCAAACAATTTCCTGTTAACTTTAATTCTGCTGTAGTACGTATATTTTCAACAAGAAATTTAACTGATGGACCATTGGGTACACAACTAAGCCACAAGTATAGGTCTTTTTTCTTGCGAGCCTCAAAGTAAATAACCTGGAAGTAGGATAGGAAAATATCTATAAGCATCTAAAACAAGATTACGGTTAAAAACAAGTTGATATACGAGTAAAAATACAATATGCTCAACTCGTTTGCCAGTTATTATTTAGATCTGCAAAATGATGCTAGAACGTTACAACTGTAATCTTGGGAAATTCACAATGAAACGCCGATATCAGTTGGACTGGAATAAACATATCAATGGTAATTATCCGAAGCTTTAGAGAACTGATCAGATATTCGGTAATCGTTAACAAGGCATTAACAATGCATCGTTAACAGTAACAGGTGAACCTTATTTTCGATGTAGACTTCAGTTAGGTTTATCACACGAAAAATTCAGTCGAATATAATAATTTTACTAACAGATTACTCCTACGTATCAAGTGTTAATGCAAGGATATAATTGATAGGACTACGTTGAAGGAAACAACTAAAGGAAACCCGAAATCTAATTGGAACAGATACCTTGTTAGTGTTGCTCATTTCAGCGAGTTCGTTTAGTACCGTTATTCCTTTCTTGTGATCAAGTTTTGAATCTGTCTTTCCATGGGGCATCATGTGTAATAAATCCTTCAACAAGTGCCGGCCTATGTAGGAAACGCCTCTCGATGAGATAATGAGGACACGCTCTCTATTTGTCCATTGTGGTTTACGTGCAGGGGGCTGGTCGGATAATCTAATTGAAGGTAATAACTTGGCTAAAGAAATTATGTAAATGAAGAAAAATTTACGCTTTTTGGTTGACACCTTCGGCTTGGAGCCCTCACTTAGCTTTCTTTTAAGACCTAAGTAATGCAAATAAGTCTTGATGTCCGGGAACTTACCATGAAATTTCTTTACAGATTTCTCGCCCATTTTATTCACCGTAACGTACGTAACTGAATATATTCCCAGTTATGAAGGTCGTTATCCAATATTCCGTTTTACTGTGACAAGCTAGTATGAACAAAGTTTTTCCTTGGTGCTCACCTCTTAACTTTTGATGACAACTCTAGAACTTGTTGTTGATCTTGGGGAAGTTTATATTGCTGCTCATCAGCTGTAATCGAAGACTGGTCATAGTGATAGGTTAGTTGTCTTTAACAGATTCTAGAAGAGCACTTACCCATAACTCCTTTTAGGCATAAAGTTAACTTGATAAAAGATCCTCCTTGTCAGCTATTACCTCAAGATAACATTGAGGACACTGTTAAAAGTTAACAGATAGCCAGGATATAGACAGAATGAAAATCAAGCAAGGCTGCTGATAAAAATGCATAAATTTGCGAATGTAATGGGCCTCATACTAGAAAGTTACTATGATTTGAAGGGGTCTGTGGTTTTTGTCGAAAATGGTTTGCTGTTCCTTAATGGTATATAAATGCTGGAACAGAGCTGAAAGTAGACTTAGATGCCGGTGAAAGGGTCTCTGAATTGTAACTTCTCGGATAGTGAGGCTTTGGCAGCAAAGGAAGTTGAAACCACCTCCAGTGGTGCACGAAGCCATTTATGCGATGCTCGTATCTTCTGCACAAGTAATCCGAGCTCGCCTGGTAGGTGATTTGAGCTAGGCTTGGAGATAAACTCTTCCTGGCTGTACGTAGCCTCCACGACAGAAACCTGGCTAACCCATTCTGTAGAGGATAGGAAATTTGATTCCTATAAACTCACATAATTGAAACCCGGTAGAACCAATAAGATTAGAGCAGGTTGGGTAACTTTACTAATTGGATGATATATCTCATTTTCTATTGTGAATAACATATTCCATGAAATGCTTAAGACAAGGACTGCTGATTGGTTTATTTTGCTGCATTTCAGACTGTGAGGTAAATGGGATTTTTCAGACAAACTAAATACTTGACCCTCTAGTGGTTGATGCTTAGTTTTAAGGAACTTTGATGCACTACTGTTGAATAGAAAACTTAAGGACAAAGTTATCTGGGAACTCCGCTGTAGGAAACTTAGTTGACGTAGTTACTTGGTGTATTCTTGTGCAGTACATGAATAAAGCCACTACAAAAAACCCAGACTCTGAATCATAATCTCACATTGACTCGTTACGAGGATGACACCGAAAACTCAGTTAAATGTCACTCATAGATAATAATGGTCATAAGGCATGAGTTTTTATTTCCATATGGTTTTGGCAACGATTTGTCAGCTCAAGCCAGACTAAATATTTGGAGGGCAAATCCACGAGACATCATACAACTGCCATATTCGGTTAATTGGATGTAGAACTAGAATCCCCCATGAGGTCTTTATCGGTTCGCACACGAAACATTAGCTGTACAGATAAAATCCATTCAACTTGTAGCTGTAAATAATTCCACAAAATTAATAGCTCAATAAGTGTTCGTCATTGGGTGCTGACCACGTTGTTTAAGTGGACTTGTTTAACTGAAGGCTTTCGGTCATGCATCCGTACCAGATCACGTTGCAACACGGCGTGGGACACAGCTCCTACGTTCATTAGCCAGCTTATAGTAAAGGTTCCTCGATATATTGGTAACGTATCAAATATATCTTTCCTACCTCTCCTCGTCTGACTTCTGGTTTCTATTCGACTGGGAAAGAACGATTATAGAAGATACTACTGGTTGCTATATGCCAAACTAGAATATCCGTGGTATCATCAAACTCCTAAACTTGGTTCAATTTGGTTTCGTACCGTCCTCCCCAAAAGAGAACGTGAAGGAGACCAAAGTGATTGTATTATAATTAGACAGTCTCAGTTTTAAAATGCCAGTGATATTTTGCCGCAGCTGTATGTAAGTCCAGAGCGGACTGTGATGAAGACTTATTACAGGGTCTTTAGAACACCTTGTAAAGGTAAATAAATCCCCAATATTAATAGCTCCGTAAATTTTCAACATTCGATGCTGACCACATTAGTTTCGATGGACTCACTTAGCTGAAGCCGCCCGATTATGCATCTGCACCAGATCACGAGTAGAAATTCCGTGCTCAATATCTCACGCAATCATTAGCCAGCCTAGATCAGTCGATTTTCGTTATATGGATGACCTATCAAATATATCTTAGAACCTCATCGCTTCTGTCTTTTGATTTCACTTAGTGGGTACGGTTCATAATATGTGTTACTGGTTAAAGTGTTTTCAAACTCCGAATGCCTGTGGCATCTTCAACCTGAATTGCTTATAATCTTGTACAAATCAAATGACAAAAAAGCGAACTAAAGATGGTAGGGAGGTAATAGCATTAAATTGCTAGTGAAAAACGACTTTGCCAAAGCTCAGAACACTTTAGCAACATATATTTTGTAAAGATTTTCTTCTCTAGGGTGCCAGCAATTCCTTCTACCCACAAAGTGTTTATAGTGACCATTAAAGAACTGAACATCTCCAGTAAACGAAATAAAGCCGATTCAAGAAGGTTTATAGACACGACAAAACTCACCCTTCATTACTCAGGCAAATCACAAACTTCATTACACATCTTTTAACCCATCAGTTTAACCTATCTGTGACCTAAGGTTGACCACTGAGCGTCCTTTACAACCTAACGCACTTTAACCTAGTGGCCATGACATCCTGCTTTCATAAAACACTGAGAAAACAGATAGAAGTTCTAAATATGAACGATCTGTGATCAGTTTTAAGAATGAGAATGCGTTTATCTATGCAGACATTTTGATTCGAATAGTGTTACTTTAACAAAGTTTGAAGCACTTAAGGTGTAAAGTCCTCCAAAAATGTGAGGAAATTCCATCATGCATGGTTCTTCTGTGACTAATTCTTAGACGTTTGTACATTAAATCGTCTTCTACAGATTTCTGCACCTTTTTATATGTTCTATTTAGTAATGATACATTATGTTAATGTTGAATGTAAGACTGTTACGTTTTTTTCATTCTTTTGCATATATCACTTTCCTTTTGGCTCTGAATGTAATAATTGTCAATGCGTCAGAGATGTACAGGGGTCGACAATGCTTTCGATCGTAGCAACTTAAGAAGACAAAGATCCTTAACCCAATCAAACCGGATGTCGGTAATAAAGGAATTCGAATATATATTTACCTTCTGAACCTAATTTGTTTACAGATGTTAGTAAAAGGATGATCTGGGATTACAGTAGTCAAAAATAGCCAGCTGTGATTCAAACAATGACTTTTATTGGAATAAAAATATCAGGGTAAAGGTTCAGAATTATCTATTACCTTATTTTATATAAGCGTTATTTAACACCCTTATTTATTGAATTGTGAATTTTGTGTGTTAGACTAAAGCTGAACTGTACCACTTCCTTTGGAAAGTGGAGCATTGGTTATTATGATAATTAAAAGTAATCGAAATAATGTGCTGACTAAGAATTCCCAAAAGAGTACAGTTTGAGGGAGGTAGAACTAGATAAACACAGATAGACAAATTATATTTGGAACTGGTAATAGGCGAACAATGAGGTACAATCGAACCATTAGCTCGTACAAATACCACAAGAGCCACAGGTTGAATGAAAATCAAAATTTCTGTAGTCGATTTAAAGTCTTCTCCTTAGCTTCATCGTGTGTCTGTCAGACCGTGCACTGGACAAATACTCTGTATTACGCAGAATATACCCATTAGCATTAAAATCAACAAACGTGTGAAGGATTCTCGTAAATATTTTGGGACTGCCATAGTTGTAGTGAAAAGAGGTTGAGTATTCAGTGCAACTGTAGGTTTCCTGAGTTTTACAAAGGGAAAAATGATGTATTATTACATCTTGCAGGGTTTTTGTGCTTTAACGACATAATAATCATTCCCCTCCTATACTCAGATTTGCAGCATTAGATGACCTTCATTCTGCCCATCTACGGGCAATGAAAATGAGATAACCTGCTTCTCAGACTCGTTGGTGGCCTAAAATTGACGCTGACATAAGTCGAAAGTAAAAACCTGCCTTGCTTATCTATATAAGCTGTCGAAAAATAGACCTACTTGGCCTGCATCTTGTGAACCACGGCAATTTGTTCATGTAGATAACGGTAGCCCATTTTTAAAATCATACTATGATCTAGTTACTATTGATTCATATTCCAAATAGCCAGAATTATTACTAATAAACAGTCCTAGCTGACAATTCATCCAAAGGACTATGAGGAATATATTTAGTCGTGAAAGAATACTAAATGCATTAGTAACGGATAAGGGAACAGATTTCATAGAAAAAGAGTTAGGAGGTCGACGGCATCCTTAGTTAAACGGTTTGTTAGAAAATTTCGTTAGAACTTTAAAAAGTTCTATTACATCTGTGAAAACAAGTAAGAGAAGAAGAGCTAAAAAACTGCGTCAATAAATTCTTGCTTCAATATCGTAAGGCCAAACAATGAAAAACTCATGACAATCCGACTAAAGTCTCTAAATCTCGCATACTTCGAACTAATTTATTCAACAAATGACTACCTACCGTTTACGGTGATTCTAAGTCACAGAATAAATAGTCGGATGGCGAAGATTTTTTATCTAAATGATTGTTCAATTCACAGCGGACATGTAGAATTACAAACAAACAGGGGCTGCGTTTTAGGCACACAGACGGAAAATAAAAGTGTGACAGGCGTAGTGAGTAACCAATGTATTTACTGTACAGTTAAATGTTATGTGTTGTGTTTAAGCGTATCACAATAATACATTACAATCCCACGCTGTGTACTTCTAATTGAGGTTCCTGATTTTATCTTGCTGAAATTATAATCTTATTGGGTTAAGTTTCACTGTATTATTTAAATTCACAGGATGACAACAAAATATGTTGTTAGATATCAAATATATAATATGCAAGTCATTTTAATTTAGTGTGCAAAGTAGATTTGAATTTCAAAGCTCCAAAACATTTACAAATGATTGATTACTGGGTGGTGATCAGTGTCATGTATGTCAAGTCATTCTTAGTGCTAATGAGTGCCACGTAGCACGAAACCTATGTCCAGGGATCCCTGTTGACTTACTCCAACCACCATCTTATCTCAACATAGTGCACGCAATGTAGAGTCAACTCGACTAGTAGCCACATTGCGACTTGGTTGATAGGATTTAATCTGTACTAAGAAGGATTTGGCATACATGACACTGATCTCCACCCAGTGATCAATCAATTGTAAATAGATCTCAGTCTTACAGGAGCCCAGTCGCGACCTCGACAGCTCAGCGTTAGTGCCTCTATCTGTGAAGCTGAGTGTCAGGGAGTATCAGTTCCTTCAAGATTACAGGTACATCTTCCTGACGAGTGCCAATTGGCACGAAACCTAGGTTCAGAGTTTCATGTAGACTACTCCAGTCACCATCTTTGCCTCAAATTATTCTTGGAATATTGTTTGCAAAAGTGGCTAATCACTTATGAACTTGTCCATCCCACATGAACGCTGTACTCCAAAGTTTTCTGAATGAAAATAAATGTGGTAGATAACTCCCCAAAGTAAATAAATTTATAGGGATGAGACATCTATCTATCTTGTTTTAGCGGACATTGTAAAGTGAAGTTGTTTAGCCAAACGTTTCCGACATATCATAGTGCAAGTCGACTTGAATTATATCTTCCTACCTTGACTGGGGAATTTACAGTTTAACTTTCTTCTATCAACAACATGATGTAACACTTCAAGACCTAAGTTCCCTATTTCGTGTTTTTCTTGGCAGTATTATTCATAGCGGTATAAGGTCAAATATTATACCGTTCAGATAAGCGACTTCTCCACAAGTTATTGGTAAATAAGGGAGAAGCGACATGAAGTAACCTTAGTTCATCTATATGTTATAAGAAATATAAAAGTGGTTATCAAGTAATTTGTAACTCAAGCGAATGTAGATACGTAGGAAACTGGTCAGCATGTTAGGAAGTCATTTCTAACTATCTGTCTATTCCGTTTTTTGTGAGGTGGAACATTCAAATATTAAAGTTCCAACTTCATTTTATATACCTTCAGATCAATAACTAGATACTGCATTTTTCACGTTGAAGTTATTTATAACATAATTAATAATGCACATTCTTTCACGAGTGAAATGAGTTGTTTAAATCAACTGAGAGTACATTTTTTGTCAACCTTGCATTTAGAACGTATTTTCAAGCTATGTAATCCGTTATGACGTGCAAAGAAAAACCGTCGAAAAGTATTTTAAAATCTGAACAAGAAAAAGCAAGTGAGTGAATTTCTTGATTTTGAAGGCATGTTGTTTTGCTTGTTAACGGCTTAAGTCATGGTTTTGCAAATGTGACAATGTCAAGCTCACCTTTTTTCACTCACTACAGTAGTAAGTAACAAATAAGTTTCACCTTTCGAATATTTGTGGTGGGGATTTCATGCGTTTTCGCTGTTTGATCATTTTCTATCGATCTTCTATAAAGATCAGCTATTGATAAGTTGTGCATATACAACTAAGTTAATAGGAATATCATTTATAAGAAATATTTGCGCATATTAAGTAATTAAACTTGTTTATACGTTTTTTATTAAGTGAATTTCAAGAAAAAAGTTGAATTCCCTCAGTGTGGCATTCAATGTCTTAAAGTCAACATTTGTTTGTTTGTGCAAACGCTTTTCAGTAATGTTGACTTAACTATATGGAAAGACACTATAACCGCTGTTTTATAAGTGTTCAAACAACATAATGCAAGGATTACTTTGGGTACGCAAGTATTTACATCATTCAAACCTGGAGTGAAGAATAGTTTTTAGTGGCCCGGAGATCTGATTGCACGTAGATCTTTTCTGTTTTTTTTTATTGAAATATACACGTCACAATCCTCATATATAGTCACTGACTCAAATTGTGCTGGTGAATCACGGAATTAAACAAGTAAAATACGCGAACGGATTTCATACAATCCTTGATCCAGACAGACGATCAGAGAAAAGAAGTGTAAAAAGCGAAAAGGAGAGAGCGAAGCAAATGGTGTCAGATAACGCATTGTCAAAGTGATATGCCTGGGGGGGGGAATCAATGATATGAGTTTCTGATCGTGTGGGCACGGATTCGTCTTTGATTGATATCATAGTAAAAAACACAAACATACCAAGTTAGCATAGGTACGACTTCTCAAGCAGCCTGAAATGGTGGATGTCACATTTTCTCCATGAAACTTAAAGCAAATAGTTTAGTTGCTTTTGATAAATATTGGTGTTTCAGACTATTTTGTGTTTAGGGTTATCCGGGGGCTATCGTTGATGCTTAGGTTCTCATAGGGTTAAATAATTATACATTGCATTCATTTCTTATTTGATAGCAGCGCTTGTTAAACTGGCGATAATGTGGATGAGATGATCAGTAAACGTCTGAGTCGTAAATATATAGTTATAGGAATTTAGTTTTAATTTTTAAATCCCTTGGTTAAATTACCAAGCGTAAACACACTTTTTACCTTAATTGTGTAAGAACGTAAGGAAAAATTGAACGTTGAATGTAGAATTCCACTGTAAAATAAGTCTATTAGGCAGACACTTCGTTCTACGTGGTTTTATTTTAAGCAGTGAAGGTAACAGTTTTATTGAAAACCTCCTATCCTCAAATAAGCTTTTTAAGATAGCAAAAGGGGTGTGGAAATTAATATATTTGTGAAAAACAACTGATAAGAAAAGGCACTGGGGAAAAATCCCCCAGACATTACTTAACCAAGTGGTTTGTAAAAAGTAAAACAATCAAGGATCAAATCCTCCAAAAAACCATGGACTACTCACCACGCATGTTGACGGTGATAATAAACCCTAAAATACAGTGTAGTAGCATAAAATTTATTGCATTGGTATGATGTTTTGTACTAGTAACTGGTAATATAATTTAAAGTTAATTCACAAGAAAACTCTTATTTGTTTTACCCTATCTGAATATTTCCATAAGAAATAAATGATCGTCTAACACTTGATTTGCACAGAACAAACTGAATTCAGAAGTGCATATCATTGGATCCTAACTCAGCGATATGAAGGTTGCGTGCTTACCGCAATACATGAAAATCCCGGGTTTGGTGTTTGTTTGGATTGTAGCTTCACATTGCTGGATAGGCTCATGCTATGACTAAATATCTGTCTAGCGCTTCCCTCTTTTCAGTGTTTCTCTGACTGAAGTTGAATAGTGGTGTAAAAGTACGAAGGTAAAAGACATAAGGGTGTGTTTTATCTGATGTAGCTTAAAACTAATTATAAAGAAGCAGATTTATTCAAGCTTCTAATGCACTAGAAAATGAAGTACTTTGTGACGAGGTTTTCCCCTTTCCTTTATATCATTAATAAAGCACAGTGGTTTAAACATAATGTCTACAGCTGTTTAATGAGTTGAATTTTTCTTCATTTTAAAACCGTTAGTTAGCTGATTGGTAATTTCACTGACAGCTTATTTATTTTACACTCAGTTTTTATGTGCTTATCTTGGACTCTGTTTATTTATTATTACCATTATTTCTTGTACTTTAAGCCGATATCTGTGTTGCTACTGTATACCTTTGATGATTATTCAAGCTTAACGTTGAAATTGATACCTATATGAATTTAGTATAATATTAACATGTTTGGTTTGTTGTTTGATTAATTTGTACATATATATGGCCATTATTATCAATAATTTCATTAATTAAGGATTATTGTTAGCAAGCAATCTAATGCAGGATGTGCATTTTGTCCTATTAGGGATCTGTCCTCTGAATGTACCGACATCTCATTTTTGATGTTTCAAAACCGAGATATGAAATCATGACCTGCTTTTGTTAACGCCTAACACATTACTGAGTGAAATAATGAGTTCAACTAGGTGCCAGATTTTGCAGAGGTTGTCAATCCTATCTTTTAGGGTGGGTAAAGCAATAGTCATTTGAAACAAAAGATAATGAGTTAAAGTTTTGGCCTGAATATCAATAATGTGATGCACGTACATCCAGCTAACGAGTTTTAAATGGGAAGAAAGAAAAACCTCGATCTAAAATGCTATACACAGTCTCGTTCCTCAAAGAAAACCCTGTGACTAAATGGCGATAATCACGTATTTCATTCAGGAAGCATTCATGTCGAAAGACACTGATCAACAATGGGGAAATACAAACCCTTACAAGTAGATTAATGATCCTTTTAGGCCAAAAATGTAAACGTCTCACCAGATTATTATCAAATTAAATTAAAGTTTCGTATTCGAGTTTTAATTCAATCTACTGTTCGAGTGATGGCTAATGGATTTTAAAAAAAGTATTTTCTTGTCTAAAGATATTACATTTAACACAAAACACATTTATATCAATAAGAATATTTATATGATCAGGTACACATTTTGTCAAAGTTTCTACCTAGTTCGATTTTGATATTATAATTAATACTCTTATTATTAAAGTTGCCATACTCTGACAGTAAAAACAGAAAATAATTTTTAAAGGAAAACTATTTCATTTTTAAAATTATATTTACATAATTAATAGGTTGTTTTCACAAATGTGAACAATTTTCCATCGGGTATTATATAGTTTTAGAGGGCTTTGTAAAACAACTTGTCATTATAATTGAAAGTTTACTATGTAGACATCATTTTGCTTTTAGATGAGATAATATATATATTATTTTCAGGACAAATTTGGTAGCCTTTTCAGTAAAATATGTTTCACGGGGGAGAAAAAGTCAATAAAAATTTCGAAGAAAAGTATAATTTAAGTGAATATGTCTGTTTGCGTTGAATTCCATAGTGTTTGAACAGTATTAAATGAATAGACAAATTATTGATATAAGTAGTTAGGTGCTAGTTTCGGGAGTTAAAGTTAATGTTTACGTTACTAAGTTTGAAGACTCTGTAAGTGATTCTTTATCACATCGTCAACGAATATCGGTAGAGAGTGCCATACTAAGATGACATCGCTATCCATGTTAGATAACTTTTCAATAGTTTTCTGGACCGAAATCCAAGTAATGATAATTTAAGAATGTCTTCTATCAGACTATGATTGACTGATCAAATAATCATTTGTTGTGATTAATTTCCAAAGTTGAATCAGTTCAACTCTAAAGCGACTGAAAATGTAAAGTTTCAAGATACTCCATTGTGGTACAACAGACCACTTCTTACTTCCAATTATTTTGGATTAATGAAACCTACTTTAATACGTACTGAAAGTGTTTTTTACATTTACAATATGATTAAACGTTCTTTTATCTCAAGACAAATTACTATAGACATTCTCTTATGTGCCATCAAATGGAATATAAATTCACAGGGATAAATAATTCAGTGTTCATCTGCTAGTTTATTCACTTTTGTGGATCAATGTATCAAGTTATTCTTGAGGGTCACTTCTTTGTCACACTCTGTGGCATCTACCTGAGTGGCCGACGAAAGTCATTAACTACACTGATTGTGAAACATGCAACAAACTCTAGACGTTCAGTCTCTGACTCACAATTTAACAATATTTACAAAATTCAGTCAAAAATACTGAAAAGTATGGTCCTTAATCTACTTCAAATTGAAGAAGCTTTGTCTGTCCATTATTTAAAACCTGATTTATTTGGGTAACAACAATATGTTAGATATCTTTATCATAGTTCTAGTTTTTAGTTATCATTTGTTTTTTCAAATGTTCATCCCCTTTTGTCTTCCTACTCCTGCGCTTGTAAAATAGTTTTAATTTATTCTAATTAACTATCATTATCATTTCTTTCTATAGGATTGTTTCACTTTAGTGATATTGATTATCATTTATACATTTTTATTTTAACTTGACGATATTCTGAGCTACCCTTTCATCTCATTGACCATATATTTCTTATTTTTTGTAAATTATCTCCTTCAATAACTGTTTGTTTACTTAAAATGATATTTTTACATTACATATGATTAATCAACTTCTAACAGATACATAATTACACTCAGTATAGGGAGATTTGTGATTAGTATAGAGTTTTCATAGATTTTAAACCACGCATTGATCTTAACCAAATCCTTATTTAAAACGTGTATACACTGGATGTTTATTTTGTCCTAGTATGGAGGTTCCCATTTATGGATATCCAAGAATCACAGACTGATAGTCGAACCCAGGATCTTCAGTCTCACGTATGATCTCTTAAAATTCAGACTACTGAACCGGCACCCAGTGGTATAGATGCCTCACTTTAATAAGTTCACAATATTTCTCAACTCTTATTTATACTAGAACGAAACGTTCATACGGT